TCCATCATCTAATCATACGGACAATGGAGGCCGCCGTGAGAACCTCAAATCCTGCAAGGTAATAAGCGTTTGGGTCCAATAAAAATTTGGGAAATATTTTACTAGCTGAGCGACTGTTAGCTTCTTAATAAGATTTCCGCTCTCTGGAATTAATCATATTTATTAAACAGTCACGAAAGAATACCATTTTGGTAAATGAGTTAAGGCGAATTAAGTAATTATTGAACTGAATAAGATTCTTAAATTCTGATTACACACGGAAGGAACCTCCAGAAATAAAAACTAATTATATGTAAAACATATCAGTAATATAAAAAGCAAGGTGATGAATTAAAATATTCAGTGCGTTCGGAGGCTTGGGCACTTGAAACAGTAGAACAATGCTCTTCTGCTTGTTCTTCAGCGAGCGATGAATTAAAATAATGCTCTTCTGCTTGTTCTTCAGCGAGAAGTGCGATTCGTAAAGGAGCTAAGAGCTGAAAAGGTGCGGACAGTGGTGTGTGCGTCGGGTGAGGGGAGGGGGTTGTGACTGATAATGGCAGAGGGCACTTGAGAAATTTGCTCATCCTCGTACCATAAATTGGAATTACCGCCCTTTTCAAAAACACGGATTACACTGTGATTAAATCTCATTTGCTTTTATAACCTTTTAATTAGCAGACTCTTGTTTAGAAACGTATATTATAATAAGGAAAATGTTACATTCAGTAGAGGACTATGGCAGTATTTAATATGAATGTTACTTTATAAACTATTCACATAAATTCTGTTTCCTCTGGAATTGGTTAATTTTAAAAATATGAACAAGGTGAGTGTATAAAGACCCGACAAAATTACCCGTGAGCTCTGTAGCATTGCACAGTGCATAACTTGACATGAAGGTGGGTCTACTGCTAGTTTAAAGTCGCGTCACTTACGGCCGGTTTCAGTCAGCTAACAATTTCAGAACGCGTGTCTAAAAAAACTGTCTGGCCGGATACACTGTGGATTTCTGGCCTGTTTGATCAAATAGCTTATTTGAGAGATCTGATTTACTTCTGAAACGCTGTGACTGCCTATGAATTAATTTGACATCACAGCCAAGAAAAACAACATCACAAGTAAGTGTGTAGGCCTACTTCGCTGTTACACTATGCATTTATGCAAAACACGCAGTGGTGCAGCGGATGATTTCGCGTGTCATGACGTAATGAAGTATATTTTAATATTCAACCACATGTGGGAAAGGCTGAGAGAACAATCCCAAGCCACGCTCTAAGGGTTCTAAGATAAATTGTCATCCAGGGAAATGGATGCGGAGTTCTTATTTATTTTTCTCTCGTAGCAGCGTTTTGACATGTAAAGTAGCCAGACCTGAGAATGTTGGTGTGTATTCAGCTACCAACTTACTCTTAACAGCTGAAGATATTACCTTGCTTTGGAACATAATTTATTTAGAGATTTTTCTTGACGTAAAATGTATCTAGCGATGATACATCGAGCTAGGAAGAGATAGCACTTGTTTTATGTATGATTCCACAAGAGCTCCTTCATATAAATGCTGCAGGCGTTACATAAATATGAAATGGATGATAAAATGTTTAACATGAAATGTAATCTCATATCCTTACTTCATACATAATTATTTATACTCAATTTCCACGTTATCGTAATAGCATAAGAACTATATATTTAATACATACTTAAATCACACGCCTACAGAAATCTGTGTTCAGTATATAAATCATATCCTGCGAATTCTTACAGTGTATGAAATCAACTAAGCAGTATCAAGGATGTAAGAGCAAATATACAGAATACTGGTGAATGGTCGGATACTTTCAGAACAATGTGACAGCTGCTATGGATTGGTCACCGAATGCAAACATACGAACACTCTCTTCTAAACATATTTTAGCTTGAGAAAGTTTAAGTTTCAGCTTATAAATGTTATATCTAACATTTTATAACTTTTGTATTCTTATAGCCATAACAATTACGTTTTGGTTCGTAGATATTCGACAAGCACTGAGAATTCTGTCATTAAAATTCCTCTGAAATGGCGAGTATCATCTGTCTGTCTGCGTAACTTTCCTGATCCACTTCCTTTAATGTAATAATTCGAACTTGGGCACTCCGGGATTTATTTGAAGCGTAACTCTAAACATGCCTATAACCTGTATAAGTGGAAGTCTGTTTGTGTCTAAGGCTCTTCAAACTTTGCAACTGGCTTGAAATCGATTCTGCCAGCGCTTTAAGAGCTGACAAGATAAAAAATAAAGTATAGTGCAAGGAGAAGTATTAAACTTTGCGAAGTGCTACGTGAAGAGGCGAAGCTCACATGCCGTTCCATGCGCAGAGTACAGCGTGCAATTTAAGGTTCTCACGGATCTCCGTATTGGCTGCACAGTGTTCTCCGTGTCGCAGAGTGTCAAATTGATCAAATATTTCAACTTTTCGGGAGCATTTCTTGCCTCCTTCTTCAGGGTCGTGCAAGTATTTCAGCCCAGAACGATTAGTGCGCAAGCTCTAAATATCCGCTGCTGTTTCGTTGCCTGGCAACCATTTAATTAATCAATTGGTTACTGTCACCGGCGCCAATTCAGTGAACAGCATAAAAAAGATACTGTTGATTTTAGAACTTGAATTTGTTGGTTAATAAGAATTGTGATTCAGTGCTTATTTCTTGAAGTTCATCAGGCGTTGAAAAGTGAAGTCTGTCCCTTCAAGCACTATTACTGTTATACGTTTCTGTTGGAGTTTAAAACTTAAACTTAGAGAAGTAGTTGAACTCTATCGAATGTATTACCGAGTCACTTATTTGGTGTTTTCTTTTATTTCTGGAGCAGTGTTTTAGTATGTATTGTACTCGGACGTTTTCAAATGTCAGACTTCATTTCTTCCTCCATACTTGTCAGCTAAATTCTGTAGCCAGCTGTAAAGAAAAAAAACTTATACGAACAAAAAACAATAAATGTAAGCCCAGTCTGTTTTCTGTCATATTCATAATTTCATTATATTCGATTTTACATTAAATTATTAGTTTTATTTCTGTTCGGTTCATACAGATTTGTTGGATTTATTTCTGTTCGGTTCATACAGATTTGCACTGTATTCCCGGTATCAGAGCAAGTTTACGATATAGGTAGGTTTCCTTCTAACTCAGGTGTCATTTTAGACGAGTTCCGTCGTATTTAAAGTGATACAATTAGTTTAATCCTCCATACAGAGTCGCCTCCTCCCCATTCCTTCCCCTTTTCAAGTGCCTGTGATGTGCAGGTCTGTGTGTTCACAGTATATAAAGTTCTTTGTATTTCGTAGATATTGGCACGCGCAACATTATAACAACAAACCTCTTCCTCTTTATGCCTCTTTGCAAGCTGCTAAAATGATAGCAACAACAATACGAAACATTGTTTACATACGCGCATAACAAAAGTTTTTGTTCCCTTGAGACAATCGCACATCGAAATGGGGGGATATATTTATCTGTCCGCTTTGTGTACGGTTGACGGCAGCGCCAGTAAGATTAGGTGTGGAAAAACAAGAGAAAATGTTTAGCTTACTTTTTGTGTTCCCACGTCAGCTTCCCTCTTTTTATTCCTCCGAGTGGACGGTTGTCTGGATTCATTCCTCTGCAACACCACTGACTGCGGATTCTGGAACTGTATGTAAATAGCCGTTCGTGTGAAAGAAATAAGGACTTGTCGGAGCAGAGTGAGAAATGTACCAGCTAGGAGTCTTCTAAACCCCAACGTCATTTGTAACCTTTTACTGTTTCCTGTTCATCTAAATCTTTGTCATATTTCTAACTAATCTGGTTTAGACAATACTTTAATTTCTTCTGTACACAGAGAACGTTTGTCCATATGTGGGCAAGTGTTTCGTTTCTTAAATTACGAGGTGTATGTTGCTTAAATCAAAATTCTTACCGATATTAACAAAAAAAAATTGTTTTAAAAGTAGACTATTTAAATCAGAATTTACACCAAGCTTAAGTTAAATTAAGATCAAGACCGATACATACTAAACTTGGGCTATTTAGATGGCTGTCTTCTGGGATGTTTCGCTGTGTGCTCTGGTAGGAGTTTACCGACGTTAAATTAAAGAAGATACAAAAGAATACAAGGTAGAGAAAGGTTTTTTTTTAACCACGTGAAGGAAGAGAAAACATGACGAGAAGAGATAACAATGAAGATAAAATGGAAAGAGAAGCACTTGAAGAAGAGTGGACGAACTGGACAATAGCATTCAGTTGGTGGCTGAACGCTGCCCGTATTTGCATCGATTGTGCCAACATGGGCTGACCTGTCACAACCACAATTTTGTGGTCCCGATATTTTGCTTCCGTACGGACGCGTTGCGGTTCAAAAATACCGTTCACAGCTCATTTCCGACTGCATCCCAGGGCCTGTATAAAAACGATACACAGAGCCCGAATACAGCCCTTGCTTCGTGCTGTCGGGAACATGTGACGGAGAATTCACGAACAAATGTAATTGCGTTTCTTATCATACTTTTGGCAATAGAATCTTGTGAATCGGTTGCACAGATCTACAAGATTTGTTTGTATGAAATATCGAGTCCTTGCCGTTCAGATAAACTACAGTGTCAGTCTGCATTCAACCTTTCAATTCTGAAATCTGCCTAGCAAGAATTCCTTATTTTTTTTTTCTGTATTTAGTATCCAAGGTAACTTTAAAATGACTTCCTCTTGAGAAATATAATGCCTTCAGGTTGTCCGGCTAAGATTTTCATCTCGTCATGCGTTCTCCATGTTTCGCCCATCCCATTCTTCTTAATTTGACCACCTTAAAAGCACAAATTGTGTAACGCCTCATTGTGGTATGTGTATTTTTAGCTTCATGCTTCATAATATTCCTGTTATTTTACGCTGTATGACCTATGTAGTTGATAATTCATCGTAAAGTAATCCAACATCTAGTTTAAAAAATCTAACTGATTCTTTGCGCGCTTTTAATAAAATTGATATTGATTCGTCTTTGTATTTTCTTAGACGTTTATCGATGTTTCAGGGGTGCTTACTGCCTCCATCATCAGAGAGATGTTAATGGAGGTAGCAAGAACCTCTGAAACGTCGGCAAACTTCTGCCTGGCTACACGGCGCAACGTCCCAGAGAGACGGCCGTCCTTATCCTAACCGCCATAAGAACATGAAATCTCTTGAAATATATATTATTTTGAAGGAGCCAATATAAATATCGTTTCAACATTCAACATCTGCAAAGTGCTTATAAATTCCCATAAAATAGGCGTTTAATTTGAATAATTCTTAAATATGTTATAAAGAAGAATCAAATTAATTTATACGGACAGTTCTGAAAGAATTTAAATGTGCACGGGACTCCACTGTGCTAGCAGAGTCCAGTAGTGAATGGAGAAGTGAGGGGAGGGGGTACAAATGTAATAAAGGGGTTAAAACGCGTGTCTGTTTTGATATGTTAGCCACATGTGTCTCTGCGTATGTGTGAGGCGAGTTCTACGAGCTATAAATATATTCTACAGCGGCCTCCTGTACGCAGCACGTGTTTGGATAATATTTTGAATTTTGTCCGAGTCAGCAGTGGTTATCACTGACATGGGCGTTTGGTAATTCGCGAGTTAGGTTGGGTTCGGGAAAGCGGGAGGGTGAAGCTGTTTGTGTGTGTCTATAGTGGGATAATGGGAGAACAGAATTGTAGCTAGGTAGAGAGGGAAATTTCAGGAAAAAAGACTTCCCTCCGGGCTGCAGAAATTTCTAAACAGCTGCGGTAGGCAAATTTCGCTTTTGGTCGATTCCAACACACTGCTAGTAGTGTGTAGAACTTAAGTGTAACTCTGCAGTTTGATACGGGCATTTGCCGAGCTGATATAGGGTGATTCGTAAATCGAAACACGTGAGAGGGAAACTAAGAAATTATATGCCAATAGCGGGATTCTCATTATGAATCACATTGTAGAAAGTGTTACTTTTGTCTGCCAGTTTTAATGTAAAGTTAAATGCGTACTTAATGCTAGATGACAGTATCTTAAGGAGACAGGGTGTGAGTAGGTTGTTGACATTAGTTATGAGATTAGGATATGGACAAGTCGCGTACTCTTACGGACAAAGTAACGAACCATTGAATTTTATAAAAAGTTAGTTATTTCTTGATTAACTGAGCGAATGTTACATTTTCAAGTGCTTTTCTCCGAAATGGTACTTACATAAGTGTGAGGCCGGTCAGAATATTGGCGCGTACAGTTGGACTGATTTTGATCAAATTTTGTACTGGATGTACTTCCTCACCTGCCTCGTCGTGTGTTGCACTTACTATACGAGGGCATCAGACTTAAATATCCACGAATTTAAAATCTAGATGCAACAACACAGCGAACGCTCCAAAATTGTATTTCCCGATTTCTTCTACCTGGCTAAGCTGAATTACTTACAACTTTAATTTCTCGTTTCTTCCACAATAAAAAACGATTCTCAGATGCAAAGTAGAAAAGGGTCCTCATGTTTGTTTTAAAATGAGTGCTAGTGGAAGCAGCCGGTAAGTGGAATATCTGCACGCCGGTGGTAAGAAATTGTGGACCGTTTATAATTACATATGAATCTTCCAGCTACGCGAATGAATCTTAATTGAGGCCTAATTAGCCACGTGACCCGCTAAATTCTCTGTCTTAATCACTAATCAAGTCGTTGTCATTTATAATTAAGGATGGCTTGCTAGACGTTTAGTTGCTTTGTGCCGCTTGCACTTATGGAATTAACAGCAGGGTGTTTCAGAATAGTTTATCCTCTTTTGCCTTCATTCACGGGATAAGATTTATAATTTAAAGAGAACGTGATAGACTTCCATAATTTATGTATAATAAAAAGTACATAACAGAAGAATAAAGAAAATTGTACAAGACGATGTATATTTTATAAGTTCCGGTACAAAATCTTAGTACCTTTTGTGAACAGTCTGGGGGAAAAAAACATCTCTGATTTTGCTCTTGTAGTATTGACGAAAGAATGCTGGAAATTCGTAACTAGCGCGGCAGTTGTTTTTCTTCTGTTATTTTATGATGACCTGAGCAAAAGGGGACGGACGATCAGAACGCACTGGGGAGAAGTGCAAAAATAGGCTCCAACAAAATTAGCAAGAGGAGGGGCAATAGCATAATCGCTATTAATTTGATAAAAATATGACTCTCATATTACCATAACACAGGATACTATTATACTATTACGCAGAATATTTACCGCTGCTCCATCAGACATTTGGATGTAACTGAATTATTTCTGTTTAAAATTTATTCACTTGTACACTTTGCAAAAGCGACGTATGTTTTCTGCTTGCTTAGTATCACCTCGCTAAATCTGAAAAATCTGCAACTCCTTCACTGGCAGCTATCAGCCAACTGGCTCATTCATTCCGGAACCATCATCTTTCTGTGAGAAGCCTCGACTAATTTTACGGCGTGGCCACTACAAAGTAACAGATCTGTGCGCTCTAGTAAAATGTCGACGCTTGATTCAAATTTGAGTTAAAACATTAGGCGCTCCTTTCAAGATCGACTCCTGTGGTCATGTTCCACTCTGCAAAGCACCGCTTCGTGCTTTGTGTCTAGTGACAAGTTCTGAGTTAGGGCACTCAACTTTGAGTGCTAGCAAGCACAGAAATATCCCTGCCTCTGACCTACTACAAAAATACCTTCCATTTTCGCTGAAATTTATTCGACTTTGAAAAATTCATTGAGGTACGATGTCGTGTAATATTTAACTCTAATTTATCAAAATTTTCCGTGGCTGTACATCAGTTTTTTTTTTGCTAGAATGTAAACGATCATTTGTTCTTTGTCATTTCGATGTAGTGGCAGTGAGCAGAGCGTCATTGATTAGCCATCGTATTATATCCCGCAACCCTGACCTACCTCTACTTGAATATCTTGGAACCGTTCATAACGTCACTACGTTTTTGTAAATATTTTATGATTTCCTCTTCGTTTCTTGCATCAGGAAACAGTGCGGAAATTACACGTCAAAGAAATGGTCTGATTCCTAAAATAAATTCCGCTTTCATAAAAAATTACTGTCATAGGTTTAGCTACAGGGTGTCAAGAAATTACTTGGTGCAAACCGTTAAAGCTACGGACTTCATAATAAGCTGCACATAATGCATATTAGGGAAAACTGTATAATAACTTCGTAACTTATACCATTCACAAGATTTCATTAGGATTATTAAATAAACAAGAATGAAATTTGGGATGAGGGCGATCACCTAGAAGACTTTGGTATAGATTGGAGAATAATGTTAAAATACGTCTTAAGGAAATAGAGTGAAAGGATGTGGACAAGATTCAGGAGGCCCTCGTGAGCATAATAATAACTTTCGGGTTCAAAACGAGGCTTAGAATTTCTTGGATAACTAAGCGACTAATAGCTTCTCAAGAAGGCTTCTGTTCCATGAGGTCAGTCATTTCACCTGAAGGTCCGTAAAAAGAGGGACGGTTGATTTAAACACTCAAAGGTTTTTAAGATTATTAGATCAGGAAGAATGAGATTGGTGGGACGTTTAGAACGCACGGATCTAACTTATTATTTTATATTTTATCCATAAATGTTTGTGCTTCCCGAAATATAATTGACCAAAATTCGACCAACGGATTTGAAATGATCTATACTTCGAGAAACTTAGTTCGACTTACATGTCATGTTACATACGCGTGTAAAGTGTGTGTGAATTTCAGTCAATTAAGGGTCATGTCGGGCACAGTTTAGGCTATTTGTTTGCTTTGTAAATAAACGTGCAACTACAGAAGAGTTTTAGGGAACAGAGGTATTTTCAGCGCCGAATATTCGAGACATCACAGTACCACTGAATCCGCTAGAACATATCAGTCTGTGGCTCTAGAAAAATAAATCGGAAACCATTTTCAATATTTAAACTGGTTAATTATTTGTTTCTAACCACCGCAAAATGTGGCGTTACGTAAAATCAATTGTATGAATCTCCGTCCAATGCCTAATACAATGAAAATAATATGGATCTTTTAGCTTAATAATAATGGTTTACGTGTGCCGGCGAGGCAAATAAGAGAATTTTCTACTTTTAGTGTGAGCAGTGCACTAAGGCATAGTCCTTCAGCCAGGTGCGTCATCGCTGCAAATGACGTATGTAAATCTTTGGACGTATTTAGCACAAACATTGTCTCCCTTGAGCGAACGTTCTCAACAAGGGAAATGATCTAGCTTGGTTATCTGTCTTTTTATATTTTTTAAAGTTTTACAATTATATTAGTGTTCCCTACGTGGATTATTTTGTTTTTATTTATATTCCTTCATTTTTTGCTCTGTGTTAATATTGTTTCTATTTTGGGTTTGCCTGTACTTGGCAGTTATATTTAATACTGTATATTTATAAGTTTAGTTAATCCGTTTGTGTAAGATTTTTAATTTTTATTTCACTATTATTGTATATATTATCAGTGTTTGCCTGTTATTGGCTTCTTGCTGTTGGCAAACACGTAAATAAATTAATTGAATTGAATTAATTGAATTGAATTGAATAATACTTGTGATCACATTACACGAAAAAATTGTCAGACTGGACAGAATTTGTTGTTTCACACTGACAGTAACGAGGCAGGGTTTTTTTTTTTAAAAATGAATTCTGTTGTTCACAATCATTTTAAAATTTTGTATCTTTATCAGTTGTAATTCAACTGCCGTTCTTATGCCTTAAATAATAATGATCCTCAGTTTGTTTTATTGAAACAAACTGATTGATGTAAATGTCAGTTTGTCTGACAATGCCACTCTGCATGTTTTGATTACAGACCAATATCTCGTTTCGGATATCACAGTTCTATTCACAGCTCCGTATCTAATATTTATAGCAAAATATACATGTTCTTCCAGGTAAAATTGTGTCAGACAAATGGAGAAAATGGCAGTGTAGGCCTTTATACCTTTTACACATCAGTCAACATTGTTCAGTTGTCACTCCATTTATAGGTGGATCAGATGTACCAGACAAGCAATGTGAATGAAGGTATGAAAAATACATACACCGTTTTAATCGACGACCTCAAGGGAACAGGTTTAATTGAGAGTATAATATTTTAATATATCTGCTTAGAGAAATGGTGAACGCGTGTACTGGATTCAACGCTCAAAGGACAGGCTTCAAGTTTCAACGTCGCTTTAAGTGCACAGCTGAACTAAATTTACGAATTAATAGTGTCGTTAAGTGACCTAAGCCCCGGGTCATTATAAAGGCAGTGTTGATCGTCTGGATGTAAGTTTCTGCACATCCAGTAGCGAGGTTACTCGACTGTAATGCATAGGGTTTGTGCAGCAAGGTGACTTCTGGTTGTAATTTACAAAGAATGTCGTCACGCGATAACGCAATAACCAACGAGAAGCTTTCTAGTGTCAAATGTAGGAAATACAAAAGCCACAGAAACATAAGAAAAAACATAAAAGACGACGGGAAAATCTTATTACAAGGGCCCGACTAGACACAAAGGGGGGGGGGAGGGGGGGGGCAACAAATATGAACGACTAACGAACGAGCGACCTGACAACGGAAGAATGAAGCCGTATGCAACCGAGTGACAGCTAATTTCTAAGTCTCGTGAGAGAAAAGTATATTCACGCGATCAGCGAAGCTAAGAAACAATACTTGTTAAAATTGAAGGTTCGCGAAAGAGTGAATGACTTGTCAAAATATCGATTTTGAAAAGTTATTTTCTGAAAACGAAATATGCCACGCAGGGCCCATGTTACCACGTCATGTCTTGTCTTCGGGTTCCGATTGGAGGAGACCGCCTCCAGACACGAAGGCTAACTGCGAATGCATTGAATAAGCAGTCGCGGACAGCCGACAAGGGGTGGTCGGCAAGTTTTGTTATTGAGCGTAAGCCAACAACACTTTACAGTAAAATGCTCTGTGATAAAAATAACTTTACATAGGCCGAGGGATTGGTAAATGGAGGAATCTACGATGGACTGGGCATATAGATGGGATGGGGAGATAATAATAAATACAGAATTATGGTGGGAAGATGTGTTTACAAATGACAGAGAATGACATGGGACGATAACATTAAGGTAGATCTAAGAGAAGTAGGTCATGAAGGTGGGATTTGGATGGAACTGGCTCAGGATCGTGTCCAGTGGTGGTCTTGTTGAAATTTCAGGGTTCTGCTGTCAGAGAATTATTGTGTTATTGAACGACACTTTCTCAACTGATTACTTTTTGTAGCGTCGAATGGTAGGCTGACTGTATGAATGGTGAATTGTAAAGGATGTGGAAGGAAGCGGTTAACGTTCCACACAGCGTTTTCTTGGAGGTCCGGTATTAAACAGCAATGCTAACCATAATCCAGAGTGCTCCTGCGAGGTAAATTTGGATACGCGTATATGGCTGAGAACTTGTTCTGTATTTCAGGGTGTTCCAGACTCTGTTTATCTCCGTAATGTCTGTTGGGGGATGTTCATGTAAAGGACACTTGCTTCAAAAATCCTCGCTAAAAGAAGTGTTTGGCTTAACCGTGATTTGTTTCAGGACCGGCGTTTTGGGGCCTTATCAACCCAGAATGGAGCCTCTGCAACAAGGGCAGGAGACAATCCCCTGTCAACCTGGAGCCCAACAAACTGCTGTTCGACCCCAACCTGCGACTATTGCACATAGACAAGCACAGGGTGAGTCACAATAAGTAGGCATTCTACAGCATGCATCAGAAACTTGTAATTATTCTGATTTCATGGTACAAACCTAATATCTTCTTTAAAATGTTTTAAGTTTTTCAACCGTTCAAAAAGTGTTTTTGATTTTGAAGAACTTAAAGGTTAATCACAGTGTTCACAAAATCCAACAGTTGGACTGCCATCAGTAGAATTCAGTCCCCACCTTCGTATCTATTTTTATATTTCCAGTCTTATTTTAAAAATCCAATTCCACACCTAGCTTCTTTTGAATTGTATCTTTTCTGCAGATTTTCTTAAAATAATTTTCTGTGCATTTCTCATGGCCACAATGCGTGCTACATCCACCATCTTTAATATTATCTCTGATTTTGCCACCCCTAACACTATCTTAAAATGAAAATATTTGTGTCATAACTGTATTTGCACATTATACTGCACACGGGAAACAAGAAATACACACAGAAGTTTCGGGAGCTACCAGCCAATAGGTTTGGATGCAGAGTGCTAAAATTGAAAAGGACCAATAGGATAGATTTGCTCTGATGTCGATGTTATTGTTGTTAGTTGTGACGTCGTAAGGACTTGGACGCAGGCACCAACATTTCAGAAAAAAAACCATGCTGCCCCCATTTTCAGCCCTGGAGATGGGGACAGTATGCTCCTCTGAGAGGGTGGTATCTACCTACGGCGTCACAGCCCTTAAGATCAGCCTCGACACTGTGCTGTGTATTGTCGCAGGTGAGCGGCAGTATCAGCAACACGGGGCACAGCGTAATGTTCACTGTGGACAACACGACGCGACATCACATCAACGTGACCGGCGGCCCGCTGTCCTACAAGTACCAGTTCCAGGAAATACACGTCCACTACGGCCTGCGAGACGACGGTGGTTCTGAGCACAGCATCAACGGATACGCCTTCCCTGCCGAGGTAAGGCCAAGTATTTCCCCGAATGCAATGCGACAGAGAATATCTGAAGCGCACGAGGCAGCCTCTAGAAGGCCTCGCCTCAAACTGAGTTCTTGCAGACGGAGACTGACCACAGACTTTTAACCTGCGGCCGTTTCTTCTCGTTCATTGTTTCCTTTGAGGCTGAAATTCATTATTAATTAGAAACTAGCTTTTTGTTTTAAAGAAATTATACACCTTGAACGCCACTTTCTTTTCACATTTATCGACGTATTTGGCTGTTGCTTTTTGTTCCTACGCTGATCCAAGACAACCGCGTTACCATGGTTACTCCATGGAAACCAGCCTTGTTGCTATGGCAACATAGAGACAACAAATTAATTTCTGTAAATAACAAATTATTAAGTAAAATAAGATAACTAAACTGGGCGGATATAATAACCATTTACTTTATTTGTGTAGAGTTAAAAGTCAGCCACTTTGCCTGTATTCCTGTTAATTTTTCGGTGTACAGTATGCTTAGACAATTCAGTCATATTATCGGAATTCATAGACTAGTTTTTTGGCAGGCCTGCAACCTTACGACATTCAGATTTGCCTGGGACACAATTTGTCTTGATCCAGAACCTACGACCCGTCCAATGAGATTAACTCAACTAACACTTCCGCATTTTAACGCGTTTTGTGTTAACATGAGACGGGATTTGAATGCGTAATCACTATACCTATATCTGTTCGCATATAGCCATTGGTGTAAATTATGCGCCGGCCAAAATTAAATGGTTGCTGCAGACATAGATAATTTAAGCACTACTGTAATATCTGTTGTGATCGCCTAGCAGCTGTAGACGGAGAGACACGGAACAAGTGTAGGAAAGGATTTTTTCTAGTACCGCGCGTAGGATAACGAGAATGACAGTTATACAGTAAGCCCACAGCTTGCTGCAGGCTGGATGTGAGAGGTGGAGTCTCGGACTGTCGCTCTGAAATGACCACTATGGGAGTTCTAGTCCCGGGTGGACCCAAATCTTATGAAAACTTCTGGCATACTCTGTCGTCCCATATAAAGTTCCCGTAAGTTTTAATTGGAATTGCATTGAAGTTTCGAAAAAGGAGAATTGCTACTTTTTACCAGTGTTTTCGGCTTTATGTGCGGGTGGAGAGGGGTTTACCCCCATATCCCCAAGCACAATCATAGCTGTAACAGCTATAATAAGATTTCTTCCAGACCCACATCGATACAGCTGCCTCAAGACCGCGTTTTAAAGAAAAAAGTGTTGTTCATCGCGATTAATAAATTTCCCTATTCGAGCTATGAAGCTCAAGTTAGACTCATTTTGAATTAAAATTACATGTTGATACTGCTTTTTTGGAATTCAGAGCTTCAAAATCATGAGGAGAGTTGAATATAAGTAGAACTTGGGACAGAAGTTGACTCTCCTGGTCACATACGCGCGCATGTTGTTTGTGGCCCCTGTCCCTCGCTTATTACGCACGTTTCTAGTCATTATGTTCTAGATCTACTGCTCTTGAGTTCTTTTGGTTCATTGTGCGCAAGTTGGGTTCCATGCAGTTGTCCGTCTTTTCTTTCTTTTTTTTCAACCTCATTTCTTCATCTCTTTTCTTCCTCCTTCGCCCAAACCCAAGTTTGTTCCGAAACTCAAGTTTATCCCCACACCCCCTCCCTACAAACGACAGTCACAACCACTGCATAGAATTGTGTACGTTATTTCTTATTGAAAAGATTTTCTGCTTTCATAACTTGGAGGGAAAATAAGAGTGGATTTAGAAGGAAAGGAAATAATTCAAATCCGATATACTTAACACCGTTCACCAGATTGAGGCAAAATTTGAATTCTAAAATAGAACAGCTTGAGGCAATTGAAATCTGCCAGCTTATTTTCGACTATTCTTAGAAGCTTCCTACGAGTCCACTGTGCCGCAAGGAGAACTGAGTAATTCCACTGGCTTCTGATTTGTACATGCTCCAAAACTACACGCTAGCCTATTTAAATTGTGTGCCCATTGTCCGTGAAGTGGTTCTTACCCAGAAGTTCATAAGCACCACGTTATGAAAAGTTATACAGTCATCTTTAAATCGTTTCCGTGTTTGTGAGTATGATTGATTCATGATTATATAATTACGTATGCCATTTTAATCTAATTCTGGTTACATGGGCAAATATTATTGTATTTCTACTTTCTTAAAGTAATATATGAGGTCGGAACAGGCTTAAGTGTCTGTATTAAGAAGCAAAGAAACAATAATAAGATTCATATTACTATATTAAATGCTAACAATTTTCTCTGATTACTAGACCACCACAGTCACTTGAGCACTGCAGTAGGAAACTACCGAAACGTCTTTTATACCAAATATACTACAGAAAAAATTATCAAACATAATTACGGTGTGAGATTTTAGGTTGTCATTGCAGCGAGTATAAAGATTTAAGGTTTACATGCGTCATGTTTGTGTTTTTGATTAAAATATATAATAAAATTCAGGTCAATACACAAAACAATACTTTATTTAGATGTTAAAATTTAAAATTTAAATGTTAAAATTTTAAATTTTAAATTTGCGCTATTCATCACTATAAGGATGTTACATTTGAGCGCTTTCGTTCACTTCACAACATGTTTCGATGTAATACATCATCTTCAGGTGTTGTTTTTTTAAAACTATTTTATATTAGAATGCATGTCTTGCAATATATTTATTATTGTAGCGTGTGTTCTGTTGATACTTCCGTTTTACGCATCTTATGTTTTGTTAATAAATAAATAAATAAATAAATAAATGTAATAAAATTTGGAAGTTATTTATTTTATATGCAAATAAGTTTTGGAATATGAACTATATTGTAACTAACAAGTATAAAGATGTTAGCCTTCTCGAATATTCGCGTCTAGTAGATTGCACGGCTCAATATCCCAGAAGACTATTATCTTCACAATTGCGCAAAATAATTAGCGATACACACACAAGAGGCAATCTCTGCTTTTTTTAACGTCGCTTGTGTGCGTTGTTTAACATTCTGCGCTTGTCTTCTGTTTCTGGCACCCCGGACAGTGCTCCGACTACAAACTTCTTTTCTCTGTCCCTTTGGAAGACAACTGCACGTAAAGCTGCCTAAATCTTATTTTTTTCGTCACGACCTCAGTGCGGATGTAACACTCCATGGATCCTAATGAGGATAATCAGAAGGGAAGTGGCAATCTGTTTATGTGATGCATAATACCCACGAGTTGAATACAACTGTTCTCTCAGCAGCTCACTTCACTTCCAAGACTTTCACGGTAAGAAATGCAAACATGGGGAGGGGGTGGATATTATTGTGTGATAGGGCTCTGTCTTCTACGAAGTTAAGAATTCCTTCTCTCCACCCAGTAGTATTAAGGAACTTCCTGTAAAGATGGTCGGAGTTTGTGACACGTATGGGAGCGATTCTTATTCGGAAACCCTGGATGGAATACAATTTTGTTTGATAAAGGAACAGTATTTCAAAGATCAAATAATGAAGATGGCTGCCTTTTGGGATATTACGCCATGTCTGATGGACATCTGACCCAGATTTGAGAGGTGCTGAAATCCTTCATCATCGGAATTTTCATCGCCCTGATCATAGTTGCACCTGAAATCTCGCCTAGGTTAAATAGATATTTCAGACGACAATGACTCAAAAATTCAGTAATATATTTATTTATTTCCGTCAATACACAAACTTAGTTGTTAAAATTGGTGTTATTAAAGCTAAACTTTAAAATTTGGCGCTTATCATCATAGTCTTCACTCGACCACAGACGCAAACACACCACAAATCACAACTCTGACTACAGAACGACTGATCTAATAAATACAAAACAAGACGAACAACAAAAAGAAACAAGCTACAAAAATGAAAACTACAAAACAAACAAATCAATGATAGTTGCATTAATAAATATACATTAGTTTTAAAGACGAAAATAATCTGAAGATGATGCAGTTGCATTGAAACATGTTGTGAAATAAAATAATGAGCGCTAAAATTGTAACATCGTAATAGCGATGATAAGCGCCAAATTTTAAAGTTTAGCTTTAATAACACCAATTTTAACAACTAAGTTTGTGTATTGACGGAAATAAATAAATATATTACTGAATTAAGCACAAACATGACGCATTTAAACTACAAATTCAAAAATTCAATCTAATTATTTCTGGTTTTTCGACAGTAGAAATTGTCGTTCCCGTGGTACTGACTACATAAAAAAAACAGCGTAAGAAATGTTGACTAGGTATGTTGATATTTGGAAAAGTCTGCTGAAATCTTACTCTAAGGTCATATTTATTATCCGATGTTGATTGTTGTTATGTTACAGGTGTAAAGAACCGTTAGGAAAGACACGGATAATTTGGTCGCGAAGTTGATGCTTTATTGTCGACATTGTCAAGATTCTCACACGCCACTGAGGACTTGATAGATGAGTCCCACGTGTCACTTTTTTTTCCCTTGATTTTCAAGTGACTAGCAGCGACTGTTTGTAGATTACTTTAAGTCCCACAAAAGAATCCATGAAATGCAATCACTCTACAAAATTAAATGAATGGGTCTCGTTCGTATACTTCGCAAGACATTGAGGAACATGGGATAAAACCACGACAAACACTGAATTGATAAAGGAGGTAGACAAGAAGTAAAATTTAGATTTACGTCGCAGCAGAAAGTGAATAAAGAGGTATAATCTGTTTTGACAACACTAAATATTAAATTGTAAGATAATGAATATTACCCATTGTTTTATATGATTTACAGAAATGGTTTCTAAGCCCATAAAGAAGAATAATGTTTATAAGTTCCTGAAGAAAACAGCAAAAATGACAAGTTACAGTTGCAACGAAACATTAACTCAGTAAATTGAAAAGTTACGCAGCTTAAAACTCAGTTACTTACAGTATTCTTCCCTTTTGATTGTTTCCAATGTTGCAGGGGTTTATCCGGGATGATAGAAGCATAACATGTGCGCAAAATTTT